CGGGCGTGGTTCCAAACCCTAAACCCTCGAATAAGTCCTATGCATCCTTTGGATTCTATGTACTTTGAGGGTCCAGGTCGTGCCACCGCGGTTATACTGGCGCTAAACCCTAAACCCTCAACCCTCAACCCTCAACCCTCAACCCTAAACCCTAAACCCTAAACCCTAAACCCTAACCCCCCCCCCAAACCAGGGCCAAGCCCTATAGCAAGGAGTATCACTGACCACCTCGACCACCGAACACTATACGGGTACAGTGATCGCAGCGATCGCAACTCTCTGTTCGTCAGTGGTGTTTAAGGCCATTGCGACTTGTAGATCCCAGTAATCCTACATCCTAAGCCCTAAGCCCTAAATCCCGAACCCTTCATCACAAACCCTGAACCCTAAACCCTAAACCCTAAACCCTAAACCCTAAACCCTAAACCCTAAACCCTAAACCCTAAACCCTAAACCCTAAACCCTTCATCCCAAACCTGACTCTCCGCGATCCTCTGGCCAACAGGACCCTCTGGCCTTGAGGCCCGGGAGCCGAGGGTAGAAGTTGCGGTAGAGAGTGCCCAGCACCTCGAGCGCAGAAGGAAGAAGGGTGAAGTTCTTGCAGGGCTTAGGGTTTAGGGTTTAGGGTTTAGGGTTTAGGGTTTAGGGTTTAGGGTTTAGGGTTTAGGGTTTAGGGTTTAGGGTTTAGGGTTTAGGGTTTAGGGCATTCCGAGAGCTCGAAGACATCAAGTCTGCAAGTCAGAAGCGCTACCTAAACAAGGGCAAACCCTGGCTTGGTTGCCTAATAGCTATCAAAAGAAGGGCACCCATTTTTCGGTTGGCACTTGATACGGGAACCCAAAACCCCAAAAAGGGGCAGGACCACACTAAGGGCCCATGTGGGGGTTTGCGAAAATAGGGCACCCCTAAAATCGCCCGGGATTCCCTTATAATGAGGACCCCAATAAGGCACCCCTAATTTCGTGTACCCCCCATACAACTACCCTTTTAGATCAACCCTGCATGGATCCATTCCGTAGGGAACTGCTGGCGGCACTCGAGGTCGTATGGGAGACTGGTCGAGTTAGTCTCAACTTCGGTTGCTGAACAAAATCTTGGTTGCTCCTTAACCCCCCCCCCCCCAATAAAAGTTTAACTTTTAGCTCCCTGAATATGAGACTAGAGGAACCCTAAACCCTAGACCCTCGACCCTAAACCCTAAACCCCAAACCCTAACCCTAAACCCTAAACCCTAAATGCAGAAAAGCCCGCCTAGAAATCATCTCTCGGGCACTTCAAGCCCACGAGACGTAGTGGAAGTCCTTCAAACAAGCGGCTAGGACAAAGAATCTTCGCACCAGCTCTTCGCTGGGAGCCCCCACCCTAAGCCCTAAGCCCTAAGCCCTAAGCCGCAAGCCGTAAGCCCTAAGCCCTAAAGCCCTAAGCCCAGGCCCTAAGCCCTAAGCCCTAAGCCCTAAGCCCTAAACCCTAAACCCGAAAATGATGATGCACCAATTTTCCGATGGCTCAGAGCATTCTCGCCATGCTGACCGTGTCGTGCCCAGACGGCAAATTCTGCTCGCGTGCAAGAAGAAGAAGAAGGAAATAGGTTTGGTATGATTTGGTGGTAGCGTTTAGGCGGAACCCTAAACCCTAAGCCCTAAGCCCTAAGCCCTAAACCCTAAACCCTAAACCGCCAACAGTAGGTGCCTCGAGGTCTCCTTCGTCGCCACAAGAGCTTGAACGCTGCAAGGGCCAGCTGCTTTGCAGCTGCACACAGACTCTCTGAACATGACGACAAGGTGTGAACCCCCACAAAACTTCTTGAAATGTGATCGGGGTTCAGGGTCAGGGTGTACAGGGCAAAGGGTTAGGGTTTAGGGCGTAGAGTGCAGGGTTGGTAGGGTAGCAAACTGCTCTTGCCACAGAAGGACTGCACTTGGGGTACAGCGCTTGAAATCTCACAAGCGGAACACTAGGCCCCCCCCACCCCCCGGCAAAACCGAGTCTGAACCTAACACTTTCAACGGGTCCCTGTGTCAGGGGGGGTGGGGGGGGTTAGGGTTTGGGAGTTTTTGGTTTTAGGGTTTGGGGTTTAGGGCGATACTGGTATCCCCAAAAGACACCCAGATTTGTTTGGACTCACAAAGCTTGTTTAGGCTCGCGAAAACGGGACAGAACTACCCAGATCAACCAAAAATCCCACCAGCACCCTCGAAGTACACATAATGCGCTGGGGCCCAAAAATAGGTGGTATGTAGGAATTCTTCCGGGAGGTTCGAGACCGCGGTCAAAAATTAAGCCTAAACTCTAAACCCTAAACCCTAAACGCTTACACTCCAAGCCCAGCTCCTATGCGGCATTTCAGGAGCCTGTATGCTCGGGCCTTGCTTCTGGAAAGCCCCGTACTTGGGGCTGTATTCGCAAGACTCCCTGCTAGCCCAGCAACCATCTTAAGATAAGGGTATAGGGTTTAGGGTTTAGGGTTTAGGGTTTAGGACTTAGGACTTAGGGTTTAAGTGTTTAGGGTTTAGGATTTAGGGTTTAGGGTTTAGGGTTTTCAGGGTTTAGGGTACTTGATGAGGAACCCAGAACTACAAACAAAGGGTAAAGGGTACCCACTGGGCCACCAAGACTTAGGTGATTGGCGATCTGCACCTGACCCTCTTGCAGCACAACAGGGCTTTCTCGTGCTGGGACCACTCTTATCAACCCAAGGTGTAGGGGTTAGAGGGTTTGGGGTTTAAAGGGTTAAGGGTTTAGGGACTCACTTACCTTGCAGGTTCAACTCTGTGGGTCTTTCTGCGGGCCAGGGCCAGGTCGCAGCTTTCAACATATCTTATTTCACCGCCGTGCGACGAAGTGCACCGAGCGCACTGAAAAAGACGACGGAGGCTCTGCGGGAGCACTATAGTCACACTAATTCAATTGCATCAGACATGGCAAAAACTGTCACTCTGCGGGCACCGCTCGCTGAAGGAAATCGGGTGCTTTGTCTCACGTCTACGAGAAAGGTGACAGCCATCGTATCCGAGGACTTGCGTGTTTCTCAAGGAAGGGCGCACTCCCAGCAACACACACAATCTCCTGTCACGATATCATGCGCTCCTTGATGGCATACATACTTGAAGTGTGACTCCCTTCCACCTAATACTAAAGTCCCCCCCCCCCCCCCCCCCCCGGTAGCATGGCGAACCCCAAAACCCCCAAAGAGTTTTAGTACTAAGAAAGCACCTACAGGGACTCCTAGGAGGAGCCGGTCGTCCATGTGAGGTATAACATATGGCCCATGACCGTGTACTAATATTATATATGCATAAAATGCAATACATATAGATATGCAATACCTGTATGTTCATACATATGTTGTATATTATATATTATATATGTATATATATATATTATTAAACTGTATTATATTGTATCATATTATATTGAATTTACATTAAATAATACTCTTGTATATTATATTCTATTCTATCATATTATAACATATTATATTATATACATACGAGGGGGCTGCCGGTATGAAAACTTAACGCTACTTAGGGTCTCAGCACTTGGAGCTCTATTCAGCTGAACTGCTGAATCCGAATCCACAGCTTCCCTCAACCCTCAACCCTCAACCCTCAACCCTCAACCCTCAACCCTCAACCCTAAACCCCATCTTCCTGGCTGAGGTGACAGATTCATAGCCAAGTCGGGGAGACTGATGCAAGACCCCGTGCAAACTGCTTGTGAGCTCATGATGGACCAGAGATCGCCCTTAACTTCGTCTGGCTCCCAATTCACGGAGTAAGCCCCGAACCCAAAACCCCAAAACCCAAGAGCCTGAACCCTTGTCTGCAGCAAGACCCTGGCATCTTTCAGTTTGGCTTCCCCCAGTGGTGCGCGTGTGAAAAACTTCCGACACACGACCGCTACTCGCCTTGGCAACCATGAGCCCTGATCCGTCATAAACCCCAAAAAACTCTCCACTCCGAAGCCCTGGACCCCAAAACCCTAGAGCTCTAGACGCTCTTGCCCATCAACTCTCACTCCTCAACCCTGCAAATGAAACCTTAGAACCCTATCCCCACACCCTCCTGTGCTTTCAAGAAGCTTGCGGGGCGTAAGCGAATTTCATGGGCTTGTTCTAAGTTGGGTCCCTCTTGTATAGGTACTTACAAAAAACACCACCTAAACCCAATGCCCTAGACCTTATAAAGAAACCCACCGACAGGCCCGGGACCCTGCTTCAGAACAAGCCCCGCGCATGACGCAAAGACCGTTGCAAGGTCGTCGAGGTCTCCGGCTTCGGGTTTGGGGCTTAAACCCCAAACCTCAAACCCTAAACCGGGTTCGGGGCTAAGGGTTCCGGCTGAAGCGGAATTGGATTAAGTAACCCTCTGGACTTTTTCTAAAGAAGAGCATCTTGAACCCAATGAAGGGTAGCATCATATCCCATGAAATTTCAGGGACTCAGATGGCCGTGACTATGTGCTGTGCCGCGGTTGTATGTTTCTAGAAGCAGCCCCCTGTAACCCCCAAAAGCCGAAAGGCGCAACTAAACCCCGGACCCTAAGCCCTTTACCCTACTTTTGGAGTAGACCCTGGAAAGAAAGCACCTTTCAGGAAGTAGCTATACTAGGAACCCAAGAACCAAAAAAATTGAAGCGCAGTACTCCAAAGCCCAGTTTAAGATCACCACTTTGGTTGTCAGCGCTGGCCGCGAGGTCACGTGTTACGTGTTCAAGAGCGATGCCAGCGAAACTCTCAACCCTATATATAGACACCTGAGCCCTACCCCTAAACCCTAAACTCTAAACCCTAAGCTCGATACCCTAAACCCTCTAGTGCAAGAGTTGGAGCTGTAATTAGGGTTTGGAGTTTTGGATGTTTTGGCTGAAGTTTGGGGTTTATAAGGCTTAAGGTTTAGGGTTTAGTGGAAGAAGGCCATTGAGTCTATAAGCCCTAAGCCCCGAAGCCTTAACCCTAGACTGAAATCTACAGGCCACTGCCGAAGTTTCCCAAGAGCCTTCTCAGCTATCCTTTGTGTCTGGAGTAGCCAGCTGTGATCGTTGCGATGGCCGCTGACGGCTGTTGCGCAGTCCACAACCTGCGCAGGGCCATCACCGAAGCAGACGCACTGAGACCCCCAAAAAAACGATTGAGGTTTAGGGTTTAGGGTTTAGGGTTTAGGGTTTAGGGCTTAGGGCTTAGGGCTTAGGGCTTAGGGCTTAGGGCTTAGGGTTTAGAACTCCGAACTCGATCCCTGGTCGACTGGGTAGCAATGGGAAATAGGAAAGGCCGGGAAGGCTCAAGAATACCTGAAGGCTGCAATGTGGTTCCTTTTCTTGGCTAGGTATGGGGGTGGTATACCTGACCAAAAGTTGCTACATTACGAGCCCTTCTTGGGCATTTCTTCTAGCATCCGTAAAAGCCCTACACGTAAAATGGAGCTGCTGGGCTTGGTTCATCGTTGTCTATGTTTTTTTTCTCTGGGAGGGGGGGAGTCGTGCGCTACGTAGAAAGGGCGGCTGATTTATCAGATGGACTCGAAAAATATACCATCGTTTGGAAAACTGAATTGCTGGCGCTCAAAAAGAAGCGCTCTCTGTCTCTCTCTCTCTCTCTATATATATATATCTATACATACATACACACAAAAATAAAGAAGCATACATATATACATATATGATGTGTAGACATGGTCCCCGCCATGACCCACACCTGCCCTCTTCTGTTCTGGCACCCGTCGGCTTGCAACTAAGGTTGTTTTTTGCCATGAAGCTACGACAACATTCAAACGTGTCTATACACAGAAAGTACACCCCTCGCCGCGTTTGGCTTCAATTTTGCTGGGTTCAATGGCTATGCCGGGCTTAATGCAAAACATCTTATCTTATGCATTCACACCCTCTGATTTCAACCGTTTCTATACACAGAAAGTATACACCCCTCGCCGCGTTTTGGTTTCATTTTGCTATGCTGGGTATTTGTCAGATTGATAAATATAACAACAAACAATCCATTTACTCATCATTCCCCACCCTCGGTGTGGGGTTGTTAGATTTTAAACTCAACTCTTCTCCGCGGAGCATAGAAAGTGCTGAGCCTCCAGTTTTCGATCCAGGCGCTTGAGACTTGGGCATCATCGCCAACACAGGAAGGGCCCTGACTGATTTTAAGACGTTTGTCAACCAGGAGGGCAACACCGCCCCGAGGACGGACCTCACCCCACCTGCCACGGCCATCAGCATGCTGTGCCCAGCGGCCAAGGCTGTTGGCCTTACGCTGGAAGGCCCCCCACTCAGAGTGAGTCATTCGGATTTCTTGCAAAGCGAGGACAAGAGCCTCATTGTGAGCGCCGTAGTGCTTGAGAGCAGCCCAAGCACCTGGCGGGCCCCCACAGTTGAGGGTGACAAGAAGGAACCTGGAGAGAGCAGTTTTGGCAGATGGGCCAGGATGAGCAGCCTCTCCGATTCTTTCACCACGGTGCCTCCCAGTCGATGGAAGGCGAGCTGAAGCCTAGTAGGTCTAGGGCCCCGAGGGGGGCTGTCCCTAAAAACCCCGAACGGTTCCGCAAAAACTTGCTGCAGCTTGTTGTTTTAAAAAGGACTCCCGATGTAAGTCGCAATTCAAGCCAGAAACGACAAATCCCATCCGCAGCCTTTTTCAGCCAGCGCAGGCAGCCAAGCCAGTAGAAGGGCCCAACCCCCCCGTGCGCAATGGCGGAAATGAAGCAGGAGGACCTGCCCTCCCAGGGCCAGGAGGCCCAGGAGGCCCCAGTGAAGAGTGAAGAAGAAAAGCCGGAGGGTGGGGCCCCCCGGAGCCAAAGGCTCTACACCACCCCACCGGCGACGACACTCAGGAGGGGCTACCCTCCCAAGCCAGTGCCTCCTCCAATGCAGCCCCTGCCGAGACAAAGGAGGAAAACAACCAGGAACCCAACCACAACACCGGCAGGGGAGGGGCAGCCTCCGGAGGCAAAGGCTTGGGAGAATAGAAAGAGGGAGGTTCCTCCTCCGAGCAGGCAGCCCAAGGCAAGGGAGAGTTCCTGCTCGAACGCAGGACCCCGGCGCAGAGGTTCGTAGATGACTACACCTTGCAGAGGCAGAGAAACAGGCCGGGTAAGAAAGCCAGGGCTCAGAGGCAGCAGGCTGTCTCCGAGGCAGCCCAAACGGTCCCACCCATGCCACCACCAGCCAAACGTGCCGCCCACCCTGGATGGGGGCACGAAGAATGGGAAGGATGGCAGCAATGGGGGGACGAGCATTGGTCCGGAGGGTGGTCCTCCAGCTGGTGGGGGGCCTCCCGAGAATGGCAGAGCTCAGGAGGGGATATCTCTGAAACCAGTCCGGAGCCTGCCCCAGTGGAGGAGCAGGACCAGGAGGACCAGGAGCCCCCGGCAGACCTTAACACGGGCACCAGGCCATATAACGAGGGAGGTAACCTTATCCTCCGAGCAAGCAGCCACAGTCGAGGCAATGGCCTAGCCAACCAGATGCCCGACCAGGCCTCCTATGAGGTCCAGGACAAGATCCGGTACCTGACCATGCTTGCTCGAGGAGGGTCAAGGGTGGTGTATACCCTTGACCCGGAACCCCGCTGGGTCCTGAAGGTGGGCCCCCAAGATGCCCACCACTTCGAGTGGGAGCTGTTTGCGCTGTCCCTCGACTCCTGGCCCCAGGTCTGCCGGAGGTTCACCCTCCAGGTCGAGGTGCCTGGGCTCCCAGCCCAGGACCTGAGGGCCTACACCGTTGAGCGGACGGTGGCCCCCATCCGCCCAACACCGGACGGTTCGTTCCTCCAGATGTGCATTATGTTGTGCTTCTGGTGCGGACTACGCCTTCCGGAGGGGTACCTCCATCCCCGAGATCAAGGGGAGCATAACTGGGGGTACTTGGGAATGGCCAAGTACCACCGGTTAACGTCCCTGGACGTAGCCAACTGGAGCACGAGGGAACACTATGGTTTTTTTAGTCAAACCCGGCTCGTCTCGTTCTTCCGGTGGTTTGACCAAGACTCCCCCACCCTTAGCAGCAAAGTCAAGAGGTGGGTCAGCCTCCACCATGCCAGCATCCCCATGCTGGCAAGCCTGTTGCTGTGGGAGTTAAAGAACATGGACATGGTGTTTGTAGAGGCTCTCATCGACATGAAAGTCCTGTATGAGTTGCCGTCACCAGACTATGGGCTAGCACGACCCCTCGGCAACATCATGGAGGAGCCTCGCTGGGAGTTGGTTCCACTGCGGGAACCACCAGCTGATGCAGCCTAAAAGGTTGCATCCTCCCAGCGAGGACAGTAAAGAGGTACCATCCTCGCTACCGGAGCGGAACCCTGACCGCCTCCCTCTGACAGCCTGCACAAAGTGCACCAAAGGCCTTGAGGGACCTTTTGTCAGGAGGTTCCTAACCTCTCGTGAGGTACCAGCCTCTGGTAGCATCCCGAAGAGGATGAAAGCAGAGGTTCATCCTCGCTGCCAGAGAGCACCCCTGGCCCTCCTCTCACGGTTTGCACCCCCTGCATCAAAAACCTGAGGAGCTCTTTGCCAGGAGGTTTCTTTCCTCTCATGAGGTACAGCCTCTGGTAGCATCCCAAAGAGGATGGTAGCCTAGGAGGAGGTTTTTCCTCCCCTGTACTTTAGGGCCAAGAGGGCCATCAGTAGTGCCAGTACAGAGGCACGGTTTTCACAACCCAAACACCAAGACGGTGGATCGCATTTGTTCGCTCAACTCGGAAAAAAATAGGTCTAGGGCCCCGAGGAGCGGAGTGCAGAGTCCCTGGGCCAGCACAACGAGCTTCACCGACCCTTTCTCCTTCGTGGCCACTTTCCCTTCCGGCCGCGGCTTCAGCGCGGCTGAGGCGCCTTTGGACACAGGTCGAAGCACCCTTGGTACTTGCGCAAGCTGGGCGCTTACGGCTGGCTTTGTGGCTTCCTTGAGAGGCTTTGCGGGGTCGAGCATTTGCCTTTGCTTTTGCAGGAGTCATGCGGGCCCATTCTTTCTGGCGAGCAGTAGGAGCATCGTTGCACCCAAGCAACTCATCCAAGGCTTCAGCAGTGAGTCCACTGTACTCAAGAAACTCGATCACACCCCTCAGCAACGTCAACATCTCGGATGTTCAACCACCACTGACGCGTTCGCGTTCGTGCAAGAGGCCTTTCTTTCAACCGCTTTAGGCGTTCCTCACACGTGAGAAAACGGATTTTGGGGGTCCTCATGCTGCGTCTGTGACAAGCATGATGATGATGATGATGATGATGATGATGATGATGATGACGATGACGATGACGATGACGACGATGATGATAATGATGATGATGAGGATGATGATGATGATGATGATCAAGTTTGGAACGATGCAGCCCAAAACGACGGCAGCACGGAAAGCCGGCATGTCCTTGGCGCTGCGCACAGCAGAACGGCCCTGCCAGACCTTAGCTGCGCAGGGGCCAGAGCGCCTCACACGCAACACAGGAGAACCCCCCCAAGGAAGAATCACAGGAGGAGGACCCACAGCTGACGAAGCCAGCAAGCGGCGTAAGAGCCCAACCCCCACGACGGAAGAACCCTAGCCCACACCCGCCCGGCCGTGTCTTTGTTCAGAAAGCGTTCTGAACCGCGCCGATCCTGTAAGAAGAAGAAGAAGTAGTTGAGCGTGCCGATGCCCTTGTCGCTCTCGGCATGAAGGGAGGACCAGTCGGAACCAATCCTTAGCTTTTGGCCTCGCCTACCCTTATAACTCCCAACCGCGGACTCGAGTCCGCGCCAAAATGCGAAAGTGGGCGAAGCTGCACACCTCCTAAGCACTCTGGGCGCAGTAGCAGCCACAGGGCAAAGTAAGCCCCAAGCATCAGCCTCATCAGCCCTACCCGTGCCACTTGCGGTAGCACAACTTTGAACCCAGGCCCCGGCGATTCCTGAGTCCTGAAGGCAAGCGCCCACTGCTCCAACGCAGCTGGCGCACATTTCTGAGGCGTCCAGCTCGCCCTGTCGCCCTTACACGTCTCTGATGTCCATTGCCTTAAAACGGCAAGGCGGCGCGCGGGGAAAACATGAGGCAAAAGCACGCCAAACATTTCGAGCATCGCGTAAAAGTCCAAGCCGTCAAACCCAGCTTCGCCCCGCCCACAACAGGCAACACGAACAACAAGGCGCGGGCCAGCGCGGCATGATGGTGCAAGCGCGGCCCGTCCAGGCCTTCAGCGTCAAGAGTACCGACACGGTGGCTCGTAGACCTCATGTCATGTCCCGGAGTATAGCGGCCACTCTCGTCGACGACATCGCCAGCCATGGCTTCACATGGCACCATGAACAAACGATCTACAGGGCAGGCGGAAGGGCAGCGGTAACCCGCCAATGACGACGCATTGGCGAGAACTTTCAAGTCACCGAGAACTTCGCTCCAACAACCCCACCCAACCCAGAACCCAAAACCAACCACCACAACCCCAACCCCCAAAGACCAGAACCAGAGTAACAAGAACCTTGCTGATCTTCGTCAGCTGTCTTGGCCTCATTAGTTCTTTGCAGTGGCAAAGGCACCTGCAAGTTTTTAACTTCTTTTCTTGGGTCTTCATCAATCTTTTTCATCATTTCTTGAATCCTCTTACTCAAGTCTTCTTGACATTCTCAGCTCACCATCATGAAACTGCGTCACGATGGGACCCACCGCAACCAGCGGGGAGGTGATGCCGTAGTGCATGTACACTATAAGATGATGATGAAGTTTGGAATGATGCGGCCCAAAACGATGGCAGCACGACAAGCCGACATGCCGGCCCCGGCAGTCCGAGCAGTCATGGATCCGTCATTCATGTACACACACGCGTGCCCAGGCACAACAGCAAAGACAGAAAGCTGATTGGTAGCCTTTAAGCCCGTGAAGGACAACCCTGGGCCGTCGCATGGCTGGCGAAAAGAGGTTGGGCCTCATGAGGTCATAACAGTGTCCAGCGACCCCCCACACCCATCTTTGGCCATGTGCTCCAAGAACACAGCGACGGCAGGGCATCAGCCTTTTTGCCGTAGGCAACTTCTTTGGGCAAGTTACCACGCAGCCAGGCCTGCAAGCTGGTAGTTTGGACCCACGCGCAAGCTCAGAGTCTCCAACAGTGGAGCGTTGAACCTTGTGAGATTTAGGGATGTTAACCCGCATGGCTCAAGCTTAAGTCGCACCCGCCAAAATCTACGCCTGTGCCTAGCGTGGGGATTCTTCTTCAAACCTACCTTCGATCCGCTCGTCACAAGACCGGAGGTCCTTCTTGCCACAAAGCAAAGAGAGGCAACGGCGACAGCAGCGCAGAGCGCCTCTGTTGCCTAGGTTGTTTCGCTCAACCGGCGAAACCTTGAGAATATCATGGGAGGCAAGATAAGCACTTCTATTCTCAGCATGCTTTTTATACAGAGGCAATCCGCAGTGCCTTTCTTGGGCTTGCCCTTACTTAGCAAGGACACTCGTCAGTGCTCCTGAACCGCGCGCTTTCTGTCTTGACTCGTAAGAACAGGCAACCCTTTGTCACAGCCAGGGACCAGGACCGGGCGGTCAACTGCAATCATATCTTTGTCAAGTTCAGGGTGACGCGTTCTGAAGTGATGAAACTTGCTGCCGACGGGGACTATGAGACTAGGAGGTTGCAACCCTGAACAGGGCACCGCCGCTTGCCAGCAGGCACCGGCCCAGGACTGTCAACCTTAATGAGAGCAGCAGACGGCTGCAAGACCTACTGTCCTGAGCAGTCCCCCGTCGATGGAGCGCCACTGGGGGGTTAATCCACCTTCAGCCTGAAGCTGAGCAGCAGGAGGGGGTGTAGCATCAACGCTGGCAAAGGCAGCAGGAAAGGAAACCCCCAAAGCCTGTTGAAAATCATCCCACATCTTTGGACGCCGGTGCAGCCACAATCCAGCATGTCGTTTAAGCAAACGACATCATGACAACTAGCCCACGCGGCAACAAGGACATCCCTCCACTTTTCAGTGGGGACCTGAAAGGGCCAAAATACAAAAGATGAATGCAATGACAATAATGAAGAAGTTAATGAAGCTCATGAAATTAATGAACGCCAGGGTCATAAGGAATGCAATGGATATTGAGTACAATGGTTTTACTGAACAGAATAAACATAACACAATGAGCTTCATGCCTTGTAATAATGCCAAAGATTAGACTAGCTACAGTCTACAGTATCATGTTTTTCACAAATTCGATCAACAAAATGGGCAGTTCTCAAATTTATAGTCCCTTTCTGGTTACCCCAAACATTAGGGGCCGCCTTAGAATAAGCACCCCCAAAAAAGAACCCTAATTGGGACTACCCATATAGGGTTCAGGGTTTAAGGGGTAGCAGGCACATTGCTTGCAGGGTTCAGGATTCAGCGCTGGATCCGTCAAAGGTCTCATTGAAGTATGGCGTTGGCAAGATTGGGCTGAACAAGGGTGAGAAGGTCTGAAGTTCGGGTTTCGGGGGCTGCTTCGGTTCTTGCTTGCCCATGCTTCATTTGCTGCCCCCCCGAGACGGCTTCCTAAGGGCCGCTAAATGAATATGTTCACCAAAACATGTAGCTTTTTATGTCGGATATGGTGTATCCCAAATTGGTAGCAACCACCTTGATCTCCAAGTGAATCAACAAAATTGTTATTTAATAAATTTGTCCAGCCATATCAACAAGAGTTTTCTTTCTAAAAACAACACACTTAATATAGGTTTCTTTCATGTATTCCACATTCTTTTGTGATGCTATGACAAATATACACGAGATCTCCCGCTCTCAGTAGGTGTAGGGTTTAAGGTTTAGGGTGTAGGGTTTAGGGTCTAGGGTTTTGGTTCGGCATCTGCATGCTCGTTCCTTTGACACGTGCATTCCTTCTGAAACAAAACCCACCACCAAGGACAACACAGTGCGAAGCTGCAAAACCCACCAGAAGCTCATCCCCTAAACCCTAAACATTAAACCCCAAACCCTAACCCCTAAACCCTAAACCCTAAACCCACATGGGGAGCTGCTCGGGATGATGGGAACTTTTGCTTTTCCACTAGTCCTTCTGGCTTAGGGTTCCCTAGGGCCGTTAAAACCCCCTGAAAAGGGTTTCGGGTTTAGGGTTTAGGGTTTAGGGTTCCTGACAGGGATCCCCTTAAAGCCAAGAAGCGGAAATATGACATGCCACAAGGACCTACCTAGTAACAGAAAGGGGCCTCTGATTTGAAAAAAAACACCCTAAACCCTATAACCCTAAACCCTAAACCCTAAACCCTAAACCGTCTGATTTGAAAAAACACATGCGGCCGAGCAACTTCCACTTCCAGTACTGCTCGACAAGCTCCCCAGAGTGTAGGACTGCTCTGGCGGGCTGAGGCCTAGCAGGCTGAGGGTTTAGGGTTTAGGGTTTAGGGTTTAGGGTTTAGGGTTTAGGGTTTAGGGTTTAGGGTTTAGGGTTTAGGGTTTAGGGTTTAGGGTTTAGGGTTTAGGGTCTAGGGTTCAGGGTTCAGGGTTTAGGGTTTAGAGTCTAGGGTTTAGGGTTTAGGGGGGTTTAGGGTCTAGGGTTTAGGGTTTAGGTGTTTTTTGGTTTAGGGTTTACAGGGACTTATAAGCTAAGTTAGGATCCTTCGAACCCAATTTAGGGGTCCTTCGAACTCCACTTATAACGAGGGGGGGGGGCCCTCCGTGTACCTGGAGCTCCTAGTAAGGCTTCAGGTCTGGAAACCCTTTGCACTTGCACCCCAAGATTTGCAACTTAAGGTCACTTCTTAAGGGCCCAACTGATAGTGCGGCCCCATATACGTAAGTTCTCTGTAAACCCTCAACCCTACCCTTAGATAGCTACATGGGCCCTGAGTGTGGTCCGTTACCTCCCTTAAAGGGCTCTGAAGTATGGGCCCTTGCGCTGTATAGGGTAAATAAAGGGCATCTCAGGCGTCCCCTGTTAAGAGCCCAGATTAAAAAACCATATAACTACCCTAAGACCATGTGGCGCCTCATGAGCTTCTCGGCCCTAAACCCCTAACACCTCAACCCTAAAACCACGTTTAGGGTTTATAGGGTTTAGGGTTTAGTGTTTAGGGTTTAAGGTTTAGGGTTCACTCCCCCTTATTAAGGATCGCAAAGGGACCCTGCGCAAGGAGCTACTGTCCTGAAGCTCTCTACTCTGAAAACCCTTGAACCTCTAAACCCTCGAGCCCTAAGCTTAGTAGTTGTTATCGGAGAGCAGGGAACTAGGTCCCTTAAATCTATCCATCCTATTCTAACCGTTTCAGTAGACTAACTCCCTGAAAGGAACTCGTTAGCAGCCCCTTAAACCTAAAAGCAAGAACTAGGCATCTAGACCCAAGAGTATCCTAGGAACAAAACGGGTGCCCTTCTTGGTTCAACAGGGGCTAAGCAGGGAACCCAAACCTTAACAAGTCGAATAAGGGCCTAGTCGGGCCCTAGTAGCCCTAAACCCTAAACCCTAAACCCTAAACCCTAAACCCTAAACCCTAAACCCTAAACCCTAAACCCTAAACCCTAAACCCCACACCAAAAGGTTGACCACTGGTACGTGCGCGGGTTGATGGCAACTGCCTGCCATCCACAGCAGCTGCTCTTGAATCTTCTTGAGCTCCACCTCAAGACTGCGGGATGCTCAGGTATAGGGTTTAGGGTTTAGGGTTTAGGGTTTAGGGTTTAGGGCGTAGAGTTTGGGGTTTAGGGTTTAGGGCTTCGGGTAAGCGACCCGAAACCTTAAGCCCCTGAAACTTTAGAGGCTTTGGGGGCTTTAGGTTTTACAAGGGCCCGGGGAGCATTTTGCTTGAGATTATCTGGTCGGCTGGGTATGAGAAACCCCCAGACAACGCGTATAGGGTTCAGGGTTTAGGGTTTAGGGTTTAGGGGTTTTGAATTTAGGGTTTTCAAAGTTGGGAACGGTGTCAGAGAAATAAAGACTGAGCATACACCTAAACCCAGGGTAACCTAGGAATAAGAAGGGTGGCCCTTTTGGTTTCAAGGGGCTTACAGGAGAACCCAAGCCCCAAAAAAAAGGGGAATAAGGGCCTAGTCCAGGCCCTAGATGGCTTTCCCTCGGCTCCGAGTGTGTAGTTACTAGGCAATATTGCTGCTTTGCGGTTGGAGGTCTAGACACACCTGGTAGCCCAGTAAACCATACTACGAATCAGGGTCAAACCTTAAACCCTAAACCCTAAGCTCCAAGCCCTAAACCCTAAACCTTAAACCCTAAACCCTTTTCTGGCGTTGGTTACTTTTTAAGGGAACCTATCACCAACACAAGTGGAGCAAAAACCACACCACGGGGCTGCCAAAAAAGTGCCAGAAGGTGAAACAGGGTCGAGTGGCTGTTTAAGTTTAGGGTTTAGGGTTTAGGGTTTATATAGGGTTTAGGGTTTAGGGTTTGGGTTTAGGGTTTAGGGTTTAGGGTTCAGGGTTTAGGGTTTAGGGTTTAGTGCTTAGGGTTCAGGGTTTAGGGTTTAGGGTTTAGGGTGGTTTAGGGTTGTTTAGGGTTTAGGGTTTATTAGGGTTTGGGGTTGGGGGTTTGGGGTTGGGGGTTTGGGGTTTGGGGTTTCGGGGACGAGCCTCCACGTAGGTCTGGAACTTGCCATGTGAACCTGACATCAGCCCTAAGCCATGGGCCCCACTTTCGGTCTAAGGTTTACCTGAAGCCTTCAATGTATAGTTCCCTTTCGGAATCGCTTTATATGGGGGTGCAGGGGTGCAGTTTATCACACAAAACAAGTACTACATTAGGAGCAGGCAGGTATGGGCTAGGGTTTAGGGTGCTGCAGCCCAACGCCGTACAACCTACAACGCACCAATATTCTCACTTCTGAACCAGGGAGCGCAATGTTCGGGTTTTGGGTTTTAGGTTTGGGGCTCAGGTTTTTGCCAATTTCATGCAATCCCTAAACCCCAAACGATGCTGGCAAAGGGATTGGCTTTTTTGGCTGATGTTTGGAGGCTGCACTACGGGCAAATTGTTGATTTTAGGGCTCCAAAGCATAACACCAAACAGCTCCGTTTAGGGTTCGGGTCATAGCCCTACAAGGAGGCCCGCTAGAGACACAAGGACCCTACATAAGGATCCTAACTTAGGGTATAAGTCCCTTATCTGTAGTTAATATGGTAAGGGGGCCCCTCCTTGCGGTTCATGATGCTTTTACTTTGCCTACAGAGCCTGCCTCAACACCATTTGCCTCTCGGGCCCTTTTCCAGTTTCGAGAAGCTGGCTTTGGGTTTAGCAACCCCCCTCCCCCCCTCCCGGCATTCAGCCAAAAAACTGAGTGTCGATGCCCCCCCCCCCCCCCCCCCCCCGCCCCCCAGGCAATAGACTCTAGCCCTAAGCACCATTGCCAACCCCCTGAACCCGAAAACCGAAACCCTAAACCCTAAACACGAAACGCTAAACCCTAAACCCTAAATCCTAAACCCCAAGCCCTAAACCCTAAACCCTATACCGCATACCCCCAGAATGGAAGCCAGGTCTCGAATGAGCCAGGTCTGGTCCTCAGATTGTGAATGGTCAAGCCCTCACCTAAATAGGGTTTAGGGTTTAGGGTTTAGGGTTTAGGGTTTAGGGTTTAGGGTTTAGGGTTTAGGGTTTAGGGTTTAGGGTTGGGTTTTAGGGTAACGTACTTGCTATATGGGTATTTGGGGCCCAAGTATATAATTGTTAGGTACATGGACCCTTCGGGAGGGGCCTTTGGGGGTTTGCATTGGAAGAACGCTTCCCTAGGTTTAGGGGTTAGGGTTTAGGGTTTAGGGTTTAGGGTTTAGGGTGTATGGTTTTGGGGTTTTGGGCTTATGACACCTGAGCAAAAGGGAAGCATACCCAAGGAGTCAAGGTATAGTTTCCATCGTAAAGGTACAAGCCATACGTCACGCAGCACGTGTCTGGTGTATTGTGTAAGCGTATGTGGGTGCGTACGAGGGTGAGATCCACCAAAACATGTGATAAAAGGGATTGGAAAACATTTACACCATGGGATCCAGGATTTTCGGGTGCAAGGGTTTAAGGGCTAGGGGTTGTGGGTTTAGGGTCCAAAGAGTTCAAAGTCTGCTTTTTTTATGAATGTGCTGATATTTACCAACAATTTTGTCATTCCGGTCATGTTGTTTAAGCTCTTATGGCAGGTGTAGCTGTCTCTGTCTGTGTCTGTCTCTGTGCCTGTGCCCTGTGCCTGTGCCTGTGCCTATCTCAGTGTCAGTGTGTGTGTGTGTGTGTGTGTGTGTGCGCGCGCGCGCGCATTGTCTGTGTGTGTGTGTGTGTGTGTGTGTGTGTGTGTGTGTTTGTTTGTGTGTCGGTCGTGTGTTTCTGTCTTCAAACAGTGCAACAGACTCTGTCTCTTTCGACCGGGCTGAATTGGGAATTGGGGGGGAATGGCTTACTTAGCGCATGTCCGAATGTGTATATGCTGGGGCAGGTGGCATGCAGTAAGTGGCTTGTTGCATGTCTTCTTCGGTACTTGAAGTGTGGCGGGCGGTATCTCCGTGTCAGTCTAACAGCGTGCAACAGCCTCTTGTGTCAAACACTCTGAATCCCAAACCCCATATAAGAAACCACAAACCCTACACTCTAAACCCTAAACCAACCCCAAACCCTAATTCCTATTTAAACCCTAAACCCTAAACCCGAAGGTATCTCCACAAGTCCGGAACCTTAACCTCGAACACCGCAACCCCCGGACTGCAAGCCGCAGGCATGGATGAGCTTGTTGACGTCGATGGCGCGCGCCGTGCCGCGCAAGCGAAGACAGCCCATCAGAAACTCCTCACTTTTCAGGGTGGGTACGGGAGGGGAGGGTAGGGGGGGGGTGGGGGGGGGGGGGGGGTAGGGGGGGGGGGGGGTCTGAGGGGGTAGGGGGAAGGGGGGGGGTAAGGGGGGAGGGGGGGGGGGGGTAGGGGGGGGGTACGTGCCCTGGCTTATGAGGGCGGTCACAACCTACAACCCGAACCTTTGGCTGTTCAAGGTCTAGTATATCGATGTCGGGTCAGGTCTAGGGGTTTATAGGTCTTACCTAGAGTATGTCACTAAGTTTCCGAAGATTTACAAAGGTGCGGTGCCCTAGTCCTTGGGTACATCTTTACCCTCCTTTGCAGGTAGATACAGAGCCCATCTAGGGGTTGTACCCTGGACCCTGAATAAACAGCTGACAACCTCTCGAGCCGGATAGGCAGCCTCAATCTCCACATCACCTCCGTCATCGAGGTCCAAGAGCTTAAAGAAAGACCACGCCTCGAGATTGATTGCAACCCTAAATCCTATAAACCCTAAACCCTTGAGTGTCTTGGCTTGTTCAGTGCCGCTTGGGCTTACTTCTCCAATACCCAAGGGGAAAAAAGGTTAAACTTTATTGTTCCTACAAAATAAGGAAACCCAAAAAGTTTAAAGTTCAACTATTGGCCAAGTCAGTGGGGTTTAGGGTCTCCAAGAGGTTTCAGGGTGCACAGTGCGGGACTACAGCCCGAGCTCTCGCAGTGGCCACCCTTCAAGAACCTGGTTCCAGTTCAGGGCTTAGGGTTTAGCATATCGTTGGTCCTTTAACTTAGGATCCCTTTTTTGGGTTTAGGGTTAAGGGCTTCAGGGTCCTCATTATAAGGTGCTGGGCTTTACAGGGGACCCCCCAAAATCTCAAAAGGGGCCCTAGTTTAGAGAACTACCCATATGGCAAATGGGATTTAGGGCGTCAAGGCCTTAGTTGGTCAGTTTTGTTGGCTCAGCCTTGTTTAGCTTAGCTCGGGGTTTCTTTGGTGCGTCTATGTCTGAATCTTACCGGGGGGGGGGGGGGGGTCCAAATTAAGGTGACTCGTCCGAAGCAGATCGATAAAAACCTAAATCCTAAACCCTAAGCCCTAAACCTAAACCCTAAACCTAAACACTAAACCCTAAACCCTAAACCTTAAACCCCAAGCCTACGATTGTTAGCCAAATGCTACCCCTCATGGGTTCCTACAAGACCCTTGCCAGGTCCAACAAAAGGCAGGAAAACCGAACCTACGCGCACGTTTGCTATACCTGGGACTCTACTGACCTACAGGGTTTAGGGTTTAAGGGTTTAGGGGGGTTTAGGGTAGTACCTACCCTTAATTAGCAAGCATATCCCATACAAATGTAGGAAAAGAGGGTCCCAGGTCCCAGGTACCCCCCTTAGAACCTTAATAACAAATGCTATATATATACATATACATATATATATATATATACACATATGGATATATATATATATATATATAATTTTCCCTGGGGGACTGAAATACAAGATTCCTAAGGGAGGGCTATATCTTGGGGACTGGATGAACCCCAAAAGGGCTTGTGGTCCAGCTGCACCCCTTTCTTAAAGGAATCTTCGGAATCATGTGGGCCTCCAAGGGCCTACTTTTGAAGTCTTCTCCCCACCCAACCAGACTCGGACTTTCCCAATAAATCGAAAACTTGACTTTATGGCAGGTCCCCCCCCACCCGCAGAGCATCACAATGTCCTTCTGAATTCCACCGCTGCCACCAGGGCACATCCCAAACGTCGAGCCCTAGGACCTCGAAGTAGGCTTTCACGGCCGGGGAGTTGATCTTCTCTTCGAACATGGCGAAGGTAATGATGCCTGTTTGGTCGTCACCCAGACAGCTGAAGAGTGCCCGGATCTTCTTAATGTGGGCTTGCTTGTTCTTCAAGATGGAGTGCACAACTGCCGCGTGGTCATTCTGCGCGCTTTCGATGGCTGTCTGGCAGAAGACTCCTTTGCACACAAATCAGGGCACACCATGAACGATCTACACTCTTGTTGAAGGCATGTGCTGCGGACCTCTGCTGCAAGATACTAGGGGTACGTTTGGGGACCCTATAAAAATCAAACAAGTTATGGCTTTGTAAGGGTTATGCAGGGGATTCAGGGTTACCTACCCCTGAGCAGGCACCAGCGTCTTACATCAGCTTATCTACACCATGCAAAAGCCCGCAAAGCGACCGGGGATCTCGGAAACCTGAGAACCTCCGGCAAATTTTCTTGCTGCAAGTTCAAAGGCAGCCCACAAACCATCCAGCTTGTTCCATGATGGCAACTTGAAGGTTTAGGGCTTAGGGTTTGGGGTTTAAGGTTCAGGGTTTAGGGTGCAACTCGCACATCTTCCACTTGTCGCTGCTGGATACAAAGTCGTGAAAACCAACAAGTTTCATCCCTAATGAGCGAAACAGCTGTCCGAAACGTTCAACCACGAAATGCCACAACTCTCAAACCGAAGAAACCAAAGCAGCCAACAACCAAACTGAGATTAGCTTGTCCTTGTGAAAACATGTTGTGCTGCCGAGATTCCTGTCACCACATTGAGCACAGCGAAGTACGTGAAACAAATATAGAACCTTACTTCGAAAAAATCTCAGCCCGGCGGATTGTCACGATGAACCTTCATTTGGGCCCGTTCGAATCCACCTTTTAGATATTGAGCCCATGCCCGTTGTGTCGTCCTTGCGGATTGATGTCAGTCTGTCACATGTTTGGGACAAGCAACTAGAACCGTGTTTAGACACTCGATTTGTGCAACATGTGACCATGTTGGGAACTAAAAGGACATAAAGCAGGATCGTACCATTACCCACACTACGAGCACGCTCCTAGCCGTCAACACATGGACCATGAACCATTTCTGCGTTCATGTACACCTCAAGGTATCGACAACATTGCAACAACGCAGCAAGAACAAAGCCACCCAAAGCGGAGAGATCTCCATCAGCGGCGCCATCACCTTGCACGTCGCTCAGGGTCACACGAGGTTCCGTCACTAAATTTCAGCAAAGATCGCAGGCTGGTGTTGACACATGCTGATTGAACAATTGGGGGGGAGTGGAGGGCCCAGCCACATATGTACACATATATATATATATATGTATACATATATATATATATAAACATATATACATATATATATATATGTGTGTATACATATATATATATATACTACATTTATTTCGATGATATCGAGGCCAACCCTGATTCCTACGGAAATTTGGCGGGCGGCCTTCATTTTTCTAGAGCCAAATGTGTTCAAGTCAGTCGCTTTATAGCTTCTGTGAAACATGTTTCTACCTGCAGTTTTGCCCTCATGTCATGAGTTATGCTAAGTGAGCTTAAGAACACTACGGCCTTGCCACTCCAATTGCGTTGCCGCACCTTGGAGAAAGCAGCTGTGCCTTCACTGTCGTTTCGATAGTTTTGCCCGTAGTCTTCCTACTCCCCCTTCTCACGCGCAGAATTCACCGCTGCAAGCCTAAGCAGTTTCTGCTTCAGTATCGTAAGCGCTTCCGCTTCTCAAAAGACAGTGCCGAGAAACAGCGCCTAGTTGTACCAGGCTGCTGCGTGCAAAAAACGCACGCTGTCCAACGGAAGTCCGTACGTGACGCTCGACCTGACCCACTTGCCACTGCGCCCACGTGCCAAATCCAAGCAATTGTGATAGTCAACAGAAAGCTGTAGGGCCTTGAAATCTGATGGCAAACGGAGCTCCTGGATCTCACGCAAAGAGCCGTCTTCCGACCAAACCAAAACCTTCGTCCACTCCGGTAGAAGCACGCTGTGTGGCCCACTCGGGGCACTAGGCACTAGGCACTAGGCTGCAACCTACCGCGACGTCGGTCCTGATGGCGGAGTCCTCACACGCCACGATGATGACCGCGAACGCTCCCGCGCCAAAGCAAAGGATGACGAGGGTTCAGCTGTTTCCTCGCCATCTCCGCCGCCCGCAATAGTGATGTACTCCTCGGCGTCTGCCGGTACAGGGTCAATAGCGCTAGTGTCTGGCACACCGTGAATTCCTGCTGGGATCTCGGAGGCCTCACTATCCTCACCGGGGTCGCGGAAAAATCGAGGCATGGTCTCACGGAGCTTAACCAACAACGCCGCTTCTGAGGTACCAACTTCGGCCACCAAAGAACTCACGGAACGCCGTTTCTGGATCAGCCTTTCTTTTCCCCCACGATTCCACTTAATCGAGTCCCAGACCCGCGTTGAAACCTGCGCAGGTTTGACCCAGTGGCAGACCGAAGAAGCAACGATGTCGAGGACTTCCAAATGCCCAGGATCAACCGCAAGCTCGTGAGAGCCTACGGCTGATAACCAGATGATATCGGGGCCAACCCTGATTTCTACAGAAACTTGGCGGGCGGCCTTTCTTTATCTTGAGCCAAATGTGTGTCAGTCGCTTTCTTGCTTCTGTGAAACATGTTTCTACCTGCAGTTTTGCCCTCATGTCAACAGTTACGCTACGTGAGCTTAAGAACACTATTGTCTTGCCTCTCCAAGTGCGTTGCCGCACCTTGGAGAAAGCAGCTGTGCCTTCACTGTCGTTTTGACAGTTTTGCCCGTAGCCTTCCTAGTTATTTTCCACACATATATGTATACATATATATGTATATGCTTATACATACGCATATATTCCTAAACACAAATACATATGCACACATATATGTATGTGTGTGTATACATATATGTGGGGGGGGGGAGTAATGACACTGCGAGGCAACGATGGTACGTCGTCGCCGGACACAAGGCTGCAGGTTCTGCGTGGTCCAGTAAGCAGCGAGTAAAACGCGGATGAAGACATGTCTGTGTAGATCGTCAAAAGGCCGCCGTCGATCCAGCACAAATTCCTAGAGGTTCTCAGATGTAGTACTGCTTCGCAATTAGCTACGCCAAAATCCCAAAACCCTATTTAGCGCACTTTCGAGGTACCAAATTCCATCGTAAGCCTTCGAGTGGACTCTAAAATCGTGACGGCATACATAGCTAGCAAGCTACAAGCGGTTTTGACCAAGCCAAGATGGCACAGTAATGGATGGTATGGAAAAGGATCGACGGGAACTGGTGAAGAAACCAGGGAAGCAGGGCAAACCAAACAATTTCAACGTGCCTACAGCCCAAAGGAAATATCAGTCAAAAATCGCTGCCTTATGGGTTCACTGCGATGGCCCGAAGATCCCCACAAGAAGCGCTAAGAAATCTTCCCAGGCAACCAGGTATACCTATAGGCGGTACATGATGTACGGCGCAAATTTCTTGTTTGTCTGAGGGCCATTGAAGTTTCGTGAGTGGGCTATCGAATGCCAGGATTTCAAATTTGGCAAACTTCTCATGGGTGTAAGAATGATTGTTCAGATTTCAAACAGCAAGGGTGTAGAGTTCAGGTTTGGGAGGTTTCAAGATGCTTCAAAGTTTGGCCTGGGCTCAGGATTCTCAATGTCGGGCCTGGCATGGGCTATACGAGCACGAATGAGACCCGACTTCTGCCTACAATAGCACATGTTCTTTTCAGATTCTGAAACTGCTGGTGTAGGAACTGTCGCTGCTCTGCGTGTCGCTGCTGCTGAAGCTTGCAGCTTGCTGCAGCAAGCGTTTCTTGGTGCTGAGTCGTGCTGCTTGTGCACCCCCAAGAAAGGACCAAAGCCGTCACAAGTGCACAAAAGGCCGAAATGGCCCAGAACAGACACGAGAGCTTCAATTGAGCAGGGCCAGGGGATAAGTTATTTTCTGGCTGAGATTGCACATCTGCTTTTCAACTGAACCTCTCGTGTCTGTTCCGGGGCTTTCGTGCACCTGAGACGGCTTTGTGACTTCCTTGGGGAACACAGGACGTTTTCGGGATCTGCCTAGACCACTTGCGAGGATTCCAAGGAAGGCCTTGCCCGAATGGCAGTGTGGCACACTTTGGGATGTTCCCCCTTATACTGACAGTCCTTATTAGGGAGTAGACTAGGGGGGGTACTGTCGTCCCGATTAAGGACTGTCAGTAGAAGGGGGAACATCCCAATGTGTGTCACACTTCGACATACACGTCTGTTGGGCATGTGGCCACCGAACTTGTGTTCGTATTTGGCGAGTGTGTAGTCGTTTTCCAATCAGGCAAAACAACACGACATGACAATGTCCCGCCCCTTCCTAACCTCGTTAACGCAAAAAGCACCGTCTGTCATATGCCACTAAATCCGAAACCCCAAACCCTCAACCTAAACCCCAAACCCGAGGGGTCCGTAAGCTGGCATTTCCTGAATCACCTGCGGGCGGAGCTGGTTAGGGAGCCATGTGTTACGGGGCCATCTTAGGGACCCAGACGCACCCCCGCCCCCCCCCTCCCCGCCCACGCACAAGTACCCATAAAGAGCATGCCATGTTCAATTCTGGGAGAGCGAGGGTTTAGGGTTTAGGGTTTAATTAGGCTTTAGAGTTCAGGGTTGCATTCCAGCGCGCCTCGCACCAGTTAATCCCGCCGGACACGCCCATGAAGAGGCTGAGCATAGTACTGAGTGACAGCAGGGGCTCTTCCAGGAGTCCATATGCAACCCTGACCCCTAAACCCTAAACCCTAAACCCCAAGCCCTGAACCCTGAACCCTGAGGCCCCCAAGCTGGAAATACAAATACAAAAGCCCTCAAGGGTATCCCAAACAAGGACGAAATGAGGCCTGGCAGCCCCGTGGCAGTGGTTCAGGGTATAGGGTTCGCAGCGACGTGAAGCGAACTCTCGAAGTCGAAACCCTTAAACTCCGAACCCTTTTAGGGTTTAGGGTTTAGGGTTTAGGGTGTAGAGTTTAGGGGAACCCTAAACCAAGCCAAGCATCTGGTACAGTGAGCGGTAGTATCGATGGCTTGCGTCTGCTTCTCGCAGCGGTAACTCTGGTGACTCCGGGTCCAAAACATAGTCCTGACTGGGACACGCACCCAACAACCCTGAAAAACCTGAAGTAATACAAGCCATAAACCCTGCAACCCTAAACCCTAAACCCTAAACCCTAAACCCTAACCCTAAACCCTAAACCCCCTAACCCTAAACCCTAAACTCTAAACTAGCACCGAGTGCCAGCAGCCTGCAAGCCACAAGCTGTTCAAAGCCCAGGTGCATTCACCGCCTGGGTAAACAGTACCTGATGCATGATGATCAGCTCTCTGGGGTTTAGGGTTTAGTGTTTAGGGTTTAGGGAGATTATAATCGGGCTAATCTAGGCTTCAAGAGGGCCGACGGACTACCGTCCTTCTTCGAGTTTCTCTAAGGGAGAATACATGGGAGGGAGAATACATGGTGCATTAATATCGCCCCTTAGTTTCGTTAAAGGGGTCTGAAGTATGCCCTATACCCTAAACTCGAAACCCTCCCTAAACTATGGGCCCTTGGGTTTTACGGGGTACAAGGGGCACATAAGGGTTCCCGAACTTAGGGTCCATGTGAAGGGTGGCTTTAGGGTTTCAGGCTGTAGGGTGTTTTAGGGCGTAGGCCTCCGCTCCTGTGATTCGTATACCTTCACTTACAACCCTGACTCCCCCCCAACTATGCAGAGCCGCTTAGGGTTTAGGGTTTAGGGTTTTGGGGCTGGGCACCTAGTCACCAAGTCCACCAACAAAAGCTACAAAAAAAACAGCAAACCTTAAACCATAAACCGTTTAACCCTAAACCCTAACCCTGAACCCTAAACCCTAAACCCTAAACCTTAAACCCTAGACCCTGCAAGCCCGAAGGCCCAAATCCATGACTCCAGAAGCTCTCGATATGAACCGTGTCTACTATTTGTTTAGGACCCCCCCCCAAAAAGTATATACATATATGTATAAATATAAATAAATAAATATATATATATATACATATGTACATATATATATATGTATATATACTCTTTCCGTATATGGCTAATGTAGGGATGACTATCTTGTTTTTTTTTTTTTTTTGGGGGGGGGGTTCTTAAGCAAGTAGTAGGTGTACTTCTTAGGGATCGACTGTAACATGACAAAAGCCCAGGCACCAAAGGAACTAACAAAAAGAAGGAAGTCTGCAGCAGAGCCTGCTGACCCAGAACACCCCTAAACCCTAAATCCCCATTAAACCCCCAACACCCAGAGACCCTAAACCCTAAGGCCTAAAACTTTCCTAAGTGCAGAAACGCTAGGCCCTTAATCCCTCAGTCCGAAACAGGAGTAGCCTAGGAGTAAATGGGGTGCCTTTTTTGGTTTAACGGGGCTTACAACGCGAATTATACACTGAAACAATGCAATAAGGGTCCACTGTGGGTCCTAGTAGCCCAAAACCCTAAACCCTGAACCCTGGACCCTAAACCCTAAACCCTAAACCCCAAACCCCAAACCCCCAAAACAAACGGGAATAAGGGTCCACTGTGGGTCTGAGCCGGAAGTTCCCTGTCAGGTTGCTGCGAAGACGTAGACGATCACGCCCAGCAACATTAAGGCCCAGAAGAGAGACTTCAACCTTGGGGGGGTTTAGGGTTTAGGGTTTTGGGGTTTTAGGGTTTTAGGGTTTTAGGGTTTTAGGGTTTAGTGTGTAGGGCTTAGGGTTTAGGATTTCAGGGTTTGGGGTTGAGGGTTAGGGTTTGGTTTAGGGATAGAGGGGTTATGGAGTTGCGGTTTGGGGGCTTGATTGGGCCTCCATATGGGCTGTCCTCTGAATGAGTTTTGGGAGTCCCCTTTTGAGTACGGCACACCTCACATAAGGACTCCCAGATGGAACCCCTATTTTTTTAGAACCACCTATATCCTTAACCCTAAACCCCGGGATGTCGGGTGGGGTTACATCTTCGGTCCACTCTGTTCATAGAACTTTTCAGGGCTATGGATCTTCGCGACCCTTTTGAGTTTTGAGTGCGAGAAACAAATCTGAGGCAAGCCAAAAAAAAATATATATATGCACACATACATACATACATACATACATACATACATACATACATACACCCAATGTTTAAGGAAATGTGTCCAACAATTCAGGGCGCTAGCTGTATACCCCGCTATACCTTTAAAGGCAAACATGGTAAATTGACCCGAACTATCAATGGGCTTCCCTGTCACATAGTGACATAGTGTTGTCTCGAAGAATAG